CCTCTCTCTCTCTCTCTCTCTCTCTCTCTCTCTCTCTCTCTCTCTGTGTGTGTGTGTGTGTGTGTGTGTGTGTGTGTGTGTGTCTCCCTCCATCTCCCCTTCCCTGTCTCTCTTTTACACACACAAATACATTTTTAAATATTTAGTAGAATACAAAATAAGAGTAGATATTCCACTTCTTTTTGCACTCCAGAGAGACTTCAGAACAAAAGGTAGGGGTCTGTTTCTCATCTCCCTACCTTCTGATGCAGGAAACACTAACCACCATGTTCTCTGAGCGCTTCTAGCAGTCCTTACTGAGCTTGGAGTTTTTTTGTTAAGGAAGATGATTGTTAATAATGTTTATTTTATTGAGATGGTCTCCATCTGTGGCCCAGATTGACCTTAAACTCACAATTCTCCTGCCTCTACCCTAAAGGTGCTTGTATTATAGGTGTGCACCACTCCAACTGTCTAGGATCAACTTTTGATTGACTTGACCAATGGCTAAACTATAAGGGCCCTGTGTACATATTGGTAGGCACTGAGATTTCCAGGCCTTCCTGTCATCTCCTTGTCTCCATGCCTTCGCTGCTTCCCATAGAGCAAAGCCATTGAGTGAAAGCCAAGACAACTGGTCTGGAATACTCAGGAACAAGCTGTGTGGTTTGTTGTCTTGGCAACAAGTTATCATGAAACTAACTTGTCCTAAGAGGTGTGCCCATTCTGAACCTTGAAAGGCACTAAACAGATTTTTTATGAGCTGTGAATTTATTCCACCTGGGAGGAAGAAAGAACATTACCCAGAAGTGCCTGTTCACAATGTAGTTTGCCAGACAGTAAGCTGCTGCAGCTACCAAGGAAGGAAGATATTTCAAGAATGGGTCAGCTTCAAGAAGGCTCAGTTCTGCAACATACTAAGCACAAGAAAGAAAATCTAAGTGGAGTCAGGAATTTGAGCAAGGTCAAATCTGACTAAAACTGTCAATAAACCTAGAATTTCGAGAGTCATCAATTGGTGCCTTGTTTACATTCCACCAGAACCTAGCGATGAGCCCAAAACTCAAGCCAGGTATATTTTCTAGTTTAGTAGTTTCTCTGACCATCCTTTGAGATATTAATATTAGTTTGTGCTGTGGTGATGTTCCAACACTCTAACTCACTCATGTAGCATATATGATAGCCTACTTTTCTTTTCTTATGCTAGTAGATCGGGTTTTATGGTGGTCAGATAAGGGAGTGTTGACCTCATACCTGGTTTAGGAAAAGCCATCAGTCAGAAGGCAAAGACATGGCCATATTAAGCTATTAATTATTAGGCAAACTGATATGGTTCTCAAGCTGCATCAGTGTCATTGGTGACATGTCAGAAGAAGAATGCTGGAGGAATTCATGTGGGTTTTCCTTAATACTCTTTGCATAGCATGTGTATCACAGATATCCTACACCAAGTGATTGGCAAGCTCACTGACCAGACCAGAATGTTAACAATTTCAACCAAATGGCTCTAGGTCAAAATGGCTGCAAACTTCATAATGCTTCATTAGTTAGTCAAAAAAAAAAAAAAAAAAAACCAACTCATCCACATTCACTCGGCTCCCAAATTAAAAGGCACTGCTTGCCTATTGTCTGTATCTCTCAAGGGAAGAGTTATCGAGCTTAAATAGCTTCAAAACTTGGGAGAGTTTGGTGAATGTGACCTGCCAAAGTTGTCAACAGGAATGTCTTATGAACAGGTGTCACATTCTTAAAGTTAATTGTTTTTCATCTCTACAAAGGTGGAAAACTGGGAGGCAGAAATGGCAGATGGCTGAAAAGGGTGGCTCTTTAGCCTCCTCAGCACTGGATGTCCCTGGAAGTCCTGTGGCATACCTTGGCCAGGTTCTCGGTTCTGATGCACACTCCTTGCCGCCTTAAGTACTGAAGGAGAAACTGGTTGGTGGTTGGAACAGTCAAATCAAATGCTAGAACTTTCAATAGCAGATGCTCCATCCTTAGGAGCTGTCGCTTAGTGTACGTGTCGTCAGTGATGTAGACAAACTCATCCACATCTGGCGGGTATATCTCTTCATATTTCCTGGGGAGAGCAAAGAATTACCAGGGGGAAAGTTTGGAGCACTCAGTGCTAATTCCCGTTCTCTTGCATGGCCTTGCAGGCTCCTTCACTTTATACTCCCACTTCCACAGAACTGTCACAGAGCTGTGTGGAGCTATAAGCATACTGGGAGCTTTTTCTCAGTCCAAGAAAAAGAGGATTACAAGGACATGTAAAACTAATGCTGGGAGTACTGGCAGGTTGGGGCCTGTGAAACGCAAAGTAAGTCTAAAGGACAGAAACTCCCGCTGGATCTCTGTGGATTGAATAGATATCAGGTAACTTTGTGATAAAGCATGTTAGGATTAAACCCAACAACAGAAAAAACATTCCATAGCTTTGGGTTTGTTTGTTTGAAGACCATATTCGACTTCATTAATTAGCAAATCATGCTGAGTATCCAAGAGAAAAATAACAATATAATTCATTATTATCATTCTTTCCTTCTGCCTTTGTTCTGCTTTCTTTAAGGGAAATGAGAGCCTGTTTTGTTTTTGTTGTTTTTCTTTTCTTTTTTTTTCACATTAACAACTAAGACATCTGAGTAGAAACTACCATTCAGCAACAGATCTCTTAAGCCAGCTGAGCCACAACCCAGCTCTCCTTCCCCACTCAAAGGGGTTGTTAGGAGTCACTGAAAGGGACAGGAACCAGCTAAAGCATTCGCCTACCAAAGGAAATGAATGAGTTGTGTTACTCAGTGCTGTTTGTCACATCAGTACCACAGCACTTATGAAACCAAAACCTCTCCAAATAGGATCTTTGCTTGTACTGAAATTCAGCCAAGAGACTACAGTGCAGAACAGCCACGTCAGATCTGGAATCTGAGCCCATGGCTTCCTCAATCGTGACAGTGAACGCCTCTCTACAAATTTCAAGCATCCGAACTGAAGAGTAAGCATATGGGCAAGGTTCATTTTCTCAGTTAATTTGCAAAGCTTCCAGTCTCTTATTGAAAGAGTAGAGATCATCTTAATTGCAAGCACTACATCCCTTTAGTAAATGGAGGGGGGATAAATGGAGTGTTTTAACGGGTGGCATTTCACAAGCTGAAAGAACGCTTACGAAGCTAGGAGGATAGCTGCTGTCCCGACAAGCTGCAATTTCCCTCTCAGAACAGACATGCAGGAAAGAAACCTGTCCAGGAAGTTGACAGCCAAGTACAGGGTCTCTGTGCGAAGTTTATATTCTTCCCCAACCTCCACCAGCCAGTCCACCAGGATGGCGCGCATGCCTTCTGTGATGTCTGGCTGCTTCCTCATGTAGTGAGCCTTGGGTCTGTGTCTTACCTGGTGGAGGAAAGTGTGGTTCTTCAATGGTTGTACTAGCAAAGACACACTCCCTAGTATTCCTATTCTGTGAAGAAATCCCAGGAACGGAGACCAGGAGGACTTTGGTTCCCAGCCAAATAAATGTGTATCACACACCAAGGAGGAAATGTGAGGTTCTGGCTTTGTCATGTAATGAGCTGATATAAAACAGGAGGGAAAACATTGTATGTGTGATTCCTGAGTACTTAACACAGACGCTTTTAACTATATAGAAAGCATGTGTGTATTTGATACTTGGCATGACATCAGGTTGGGTGTCCCTTATCCCAGGTACTTGGGCTCAGACTCACTCCTCCTTCCTTTCTTTCTTTTTTGTTATAAATTTCTTATGTTTTAAAGATCTCACATTGGTGTTGTTTGCTAGTGGCTATGGCCAAGAGCTTGTAACATGAAGACAGCGCTTAGTGTCTAGAGATTGAACCAGAGGTTGGGAAACTCACTTCAGCTTCTCGGAGGTAACGATGAATCTCTTCAGCATATTCTGTTACATTAATCACATCTGAACCAAGATCTGTCGCTTCCTCCGACTGGGCATGGGCATTGGAGTCGACCAACATTGGGGAAACTGCAGAGGTGCGACGTGGCCATGTAAGTAATTTCATTTGAGGCTTATCACATCCACTCACCCGCACAGGAAGCTGTGAACACCGCCAGCACTTCCTGTTTCTCTGTCTCAAGCTACTCTCTACTGGAACATGGCAGAGGGTTGTGAGCACAGGGCACCAGTGGCCCTAGGGGAGTACGATTACCTGTGTTGAAATCCAGCAGGAAGTGGAGGTCTGACTTGAGCATGCTTGTGTCTACTTCATACACGTCCTCAAATACTATCCCCTCTCTCCCTGGGCAGGTGTCCCGGTCCCGCTGTTCAGGCTCATCCATGTAGATATCAAATCCGTGCTTGGCTGGCTCATTGACTCCATGGTCAGGGAGCACTTTCTTTCCAGCCACAGGGAAGACATTTTCTGATCCAGAAAAACATCTAATTGTTGTGATCTCCTTAAAAACAAAACAAAACAAAATGTTATATCTCTTGTTGGTCACCATCCACTGTAAGCAATATAAGTCCATGTCACTCATACCAGTAGCTTGGGAAAGCTAGAGCAAACTCTCTCACTTTCTGACTATCTAATTCCAAATACCAAATCTCTGAACATGACTTCCCTTTTCATTTTGTTTACATTTGTCATATGGGAAAAGTTCTGCTTGAAATTCATCATCTTCATTACATGTGTGTTAAAGGGAATTCACAACTATAAAAACAAGAAGAGCTGTAATACACTTAGAAAACTGATTAGTTACAATATTCTAGGGGAAATTGCAAATTGTCCTTTACATTTAGAGCACTACAGTATTTTACAAGAACTCAGCATCACTCTTGATCCTTAGTTACTGAGTCCTCTGTTTAAATGCCAAACTTTCCATTGGAGATGCCCGTAAAGCTTTCATTTCTTACCCAGTTATTCAGGAAAACATCATGACCTTGGAGCCCTGTGCTACAAAACATTCTAAAATGGTATGAAAATATTTTTGTATATCATCATTACTCTTGGGGAATTTTCTCAAATCATTTCTTTTCTTTATTCTTACAGAGAGAACAACAGAAACAACAGTGGCCCTGTCATAGTGAACACTGGCAACCAGTGGTCTAAGGAGAGTTATGTGTGGCAGCCAGGGCAGGCCTAGGAGTTAGACTTTGATATGCCAGTACCATCAACTGTGAACATTTTGCTTATACTTAATCTTGGTAGTTATTATTGGATACCACTTCCCAATTCATATGTCACTTCATGAATTTACTTTTCATCAAGGAAGTTAAACTTATGTTTAATAAGAAAAACAATTTGTAATAAAATGTTAGAGGAAAAAATTCCATGAGGCAAGTTACAACTAGCCATGACTCATGTTACTGCTGGGTTTGAGTTCTGCTCTACGTGTGTGTGTATGTGTGTGTGTGTGTGTGTGTGTGTGTGTGTGTGTGTGTGTGTATCTGTGTGTGTGTGTGTGTGTATGTGTGTATCTGTGTGTGTGTGTGTGTGTGTGTGTGTGTGTGTGTGTGTGTAAGAGACAGAGGAGAGGCAATGTGTTGCATAACACATCAAGAAAGAGTACTTTTTACTAAACTGAGCAAGAATAAATGGTTTCAAAGAAGGAAGAATGGCCACTTATGTGAAAGGTGTCAATATATCAGGGAAGACAAAACTGAGTGAGAGAAGACTCAGAAACAGAAAGTGCCAAGCCAACAAACACACCAAGCTTGTCTAGCCAGGCCCATCACTCTTCTGGACAGTAGGAATACCACAGAAAAGTGTCATCCCCACATTGTCACCCTGGTGGAATGCCCATACCATTAAGATAGACAGTTTCTAATAAATCTTGCTGTAACTGGGACAGTAGCTGCACAGAGATAGCTGTGTGGCTGGACAAGTTTGAAGATGGGAAGCTATTTCCATATATCCATGCATGTATGGATTTGCTTCAGAGAGATAAGAAATTGGAGAAAGAGAAGAATTGTTAGAGAGGTACCTTGAAATCCAAGAGGTCATGGGTTCCAGTCACAGAGCAGGAAGGGAATAACACAGGGGAGCAGTAAAGATTCTAGCTGCTGGCCCAAAGTGAACAAACATGTAATTGTAGCACTAGAATGGATGAGGTAGGAGGGTCCTGAATTTGAGGCCATTTAGAGCTATGTACCACATCAAAGCCAGCTTGGCCTAGACTCTCCCTACTCCCTGGAGTTGGGAGGAAGAGTGAAGTTCTGGCTGAAGCATTCTTTTGGGAAAGCAGGATACAGTCATCTTATTCTTTATTCTGAAGGAGCAGGGCTGTGAACAATTAAGGGTTGAGGCAACAAGACGGTTCAGAGGGTAAAGACTCTTGTTATCAAGCCCAGTGACCTGAGTTCAAACCTCAGAAGGAGCTTCCAATCTTGTCATCAACCTCTACATGAATGCTGTGGCATGCATGCTCACAAACACACATCATATATGCACACATGTACATACATAGTAATGAAGGAATTAAATTATTTTAAAACCAAATAGAAACCAAAGAACAAATAATAGGGAATCAGGCTTGAGGTGGGTTTCTATGGAAGGTGTAGGGGAATGGAGTGTCGAGGAGACACCAAGCAGTAACTCCGGTAGCACAAGAGCTGAGTGTGAATTTCAAACAAGGACATTCAATGTAAACACCACTTTTAATTCATAAATTCAGGTCTCAGATGGCAAGTTTAAAGAAGTGAAACATTGCTAAGCCATTTTTGTTAAAACTATTTTCACTTGGCTTGACTCAGAGCATTAAAGGGATCATCTGGGGGATCACTGCCACCAATGGATACAGTCAGACCCAAGAGCAGAGGACTTGAAGAGGCAGTAGATGAAGGGTCTCTGAATGAGCCTCTACTGTAACAGGTGGGAGGGATAAACCATCTCTAACCTGCCCTTAAAACCCACCCACCTGCTGGACTGGACTCTTGTAACCATTGGGTTCCACAGACTTGTAATACAGAATTGAGGCATCATTACAAGGGTTTATCTAATAACAGGCTTAGAGGACACTTTATTTTCTATCTCAAAAAGTCACTGCTGCAGATTCAAATCTCTCCTCTACATTTAAACGTCTGAATTTGATGCTGTCTTCGGTGCCAGTTATACAGTCAGTTAAGAGCAGACTGGTAGCATCTCAGTGCCATTGTCTGTAGTGGTAGATATGTTTGCTCTGGATGCCACCTTTCTCTTAAAAGGTAAACTAATGTATCCTGGTACACACGCTGTCTCCATTGATTGATTTCTGGTGGCCTGGCTCATCCATACAACTTTCTGGCCCAGAGGTTCCTCCCAACCCCACCCCCACCCCTGCACTACAGATCAAAGTAATCGCATCTCCCTTCTGACTAACTCTTAAGTCACTTAACACATTCCTAACCCAAACAGTCTCTAAGATTTACTTCTTTGATATAGGGGGAAACACACACACACACACACACACACACACACACACACACACACAGACATGCACATTGCCGCAGGCAGGCAGGCCTTCTCCACAGCATCTTCCCTGATGCTCCTGGGTCATTACCTGGCCACAGGTCCTCCTGTACTGCTCATTTTCAGTCAACACCCCTAGCACGGTTCTCTGTGGGGGATCCTGGCCGAGCTGAGCTCTAGTGAGCATTTGACAAGCCTCGGGACCTTGGCCCACTGGAGGGAGAGCGACTCCACTCTTGGAGCT